CCCGGAGTGGCCTGCCTCCAGGTCCAGGAGGCCTCTGAGGGGGAGGTTTAGGATGAGACAAGGCTGGCTTCATTTTTCTGAACCAACTAAACCCCAGAATCCAACAAGAGCAAGTGCCTAGTGTGGGTGGGCCCATGGGCTGACAGGGCCTGACAGCTTGGGTCTCCTCTCCTTCTCCCTCCCCCTTCATCCCAGGGGGATGCTGACACTTTCACAGTCCAACTCATCAGCCTCTAGAGAGCCCCTCCCTGCTGCCAGACCTGGGCTGCCCTGCTGGTTTGCAAAATCCTAGGGGGCCATTGAAGAGGCAGTGAGCAAGCACTGGGGTAGAACTCTCTCCAGGGTCTCTCTTAGAGCATTTCCACAGACAGAGCCAGGAATGCTGGGCTCCCTCCAGGAGAAACATTCCCCTAGCCTGGCCCCCACCCAGGGGAGTGAGGCTGGGCAGCTGTATGAGCACAGCTGCTGGGGGGGCAGGTCTTACATCTGCTCCCTGCCAGCTGTGCAGAGGCAGGGGCTTCACTCACCTGTTGTTGGTTCTCCCGCTGAGAGTGGAGCCGCGCCTGGATGCACTCCCTGGTCTCCTGGAAAGCCTGTCTCTGGGAGACCTCAGCTGGATAGTGGGTGCAGATGCCCACGATGTTGGTGCAAGAGAAAATGAGGACATTGGAGACAAGCTGTAGAGGGAGAGACGGGGAAGGACATCGTGCTCAGGCTTGGAGAGGACACCAGTCATTGGAGCCCCAATCCTGACCCTTTCAGCCCTTGAGTGTGAAGTCCTCAGGCCCCATCTCAGCAAGCACACACCTAGTTTCCAGCAGACAAATGCCAAGGACAGCTGAGAGTGGCCAAGCCTCATTGGTCATGCTCTCTGATGTCCTCAAAGCCCAATGCCTGGCTGGCCTGTGATGAAGTATGGCCCTAAGGACACCGAGTCACTGAATGATCAAACTGAACGTGTCCATAGTACCAAAGGTTGAAAGGTTAGGTGTATTGCTGATGCTGTGATTGATGGTGTATGCTGGGGGTAGAAGGAGCCTGCAAGGAAGGTTCCATGAGGGTGGCAGGATTTCAGTTTTGGAAAGTGTGATAGAGCCCACCACAAGGCAAAGGACTGCCCTTTTGCAGAAAAGCCTTAGCTTATTACTCCTGAGGGATCAGCTGCAATGAAACAAGAACTAACTAGCTAACCATGAGCTCCCAGCACTGTGCTAAGTCCCCTAGAGAAGGCGAGAAGGAAAAGGTCCCTGGCCATAGCAACTGGTGCCCACAGGGGGTCTCATCTCCTCTTCCTAGATTTCCATTCCTTTTCTGCACCAGCAAAAAGGCCCCCTGACACCCCCACCCCATGCACTAGTGAGCACCTACCACCACCCCTGCTCCTCAGTGATGCCCTTCTCCATGCTGACTGGGATGTGCTTGTGGAAAAATACCTCTGCCCCTCAGGTCACGGAGATAAGGTTGGAATTCTTTTGAAAGGACTATTTACTGAAAAGCCAAGGAGAAACAAAACACAACATAACCCACAAACGCAAGTTGACAGCACATTTCAGATACCAGCAAAGGTGCTGTTTAGCAAAATTTATTTTGGCAGGTACAGCTCCTGGAGTATCTGGGTAAATTGATCCTGGTCCTACCTCCACCTCAGGCCACACAGGAGAGAATCCACAGATGCTCAGGCTTCTAGGCCTCTAAAAACTTAATTCTCAGTCTCAATTGCAGAAGGGGAGCCCCAGGCCAGCCCTGCACCTTCCACTGTGGCTCCTCTGACCTTCAAGAGCCCTGCATTGGTCCCTAGTCCTCTTGTCCATTTGGATCTCAAAAGACTTCCTCTGGGACATCAGCAGCCTGGCAGTGACCCAGTATACAGCTCCCCCACTCTCCCCCCAGGGGCCTCTTTGGCCTTGACTCAGGTCTGCGTTCTGTCTGAAGGCTCTCCCCTATCATAACTCTGAGCTGGTCCTCAGCCAGCCCAGGCCTGGAGGCCGTGTGGACTCCATGCTGAATGTGGTGCCATCTCTCCCTGAGACATCCCATAATGTGTGTGCCCCAGTCCATGAACAGAAAGAGACTTTCTCTTTCCCATCTCAAAGTCTTGCTCTCTCTTCGGCTGCATAAAAAATTCTGGTTTTCTGGCCAAAGGACATCTCCCAGATGCGTTCAGGGAAGGGGCAAACTCAGATTGCCAACTCTGCCAGCTCTGCCAACCCTGCTGATGACTCACAGTTCCCACAGCCCACCCCCTAACCCTATCCACCCCAGAATCCTACCATTATCACTTTATGTAAACATGTGGCAGAGAAAAACCCAACCTATTCAACACAGGAAGAAGGACCCTGTTCTATAGAAGCTGGCAATCCAATTGAGGAGATAAGTAGTCAAGACTGATGAAGAACCGACAATAGGAAGCACAAACTGACTCACACCAGCAAGAGGGTCAGGAGAGAGTGCGAGGTACTGAGAGACCTCTGGGCAGGCCTGGGGCATATTGGGCCAGGGTTAGAGATACCCTTGGTGAGGCTGATACGCATGGGAAGGGCCTCCCTGGAGAGCATACCCAGGAAGCTTGGGCTTGTGAGGTACTCAGAGTCCTTGAATAAAAAACCCAGAGTCTCAGATCCTGAGGGGAAGTGAGTCCAGAGAAAGAAGATGGAGCTGGAAAGGCAGATGGAGCTGAAGAGGCATATGAGAGTCAGGCTGAGAAGGCCGGGCACAATTCTTACATGCAGGAGCCGTAAAGGACAACTGGACCAGAGAACAGCAGGATGAGCGCACAGCTCCAGCAAGGCTCACCAGGGGAGTGGCAAGTGGGTCAGGAGGCTGCCAGAGGAGCCCAACGTGTGAGGGAACAAAGAGCTACACGAGGCTGTGGGGGGCCAGGCAAAGCAGAGCTGACTCAGAAAGAAAAGCCCTAAGACCAGGGAGAAGGTCAAGGGGAAAATGAGACCGAGGTCTTCAGCATTAACCAATGCTGTCACTATGACAAGTCACCTTGAGGACATGCCTCCGGAAGTCACCGGGGACCACTATGAGATGGGTAGGGAGAGAAAATGAGATGAGGGGGTAAAGACTAAAGGTGCAGACGACAGGGAATTCTGAAGAATGTTCTAGTTCGGAGGCATATTTCGAAAGGAGATAGGAAGGTGCCAGATGATAGAAACAGGAGTAGGGTGCAATGGGGGAAAACTAAAAGCATTTAAATTAAGATCAGGAACAAGACAGGGAAGTCCCACTTCTACCACTATGTTCATTGCAGTGTTATTTACAATAGCCAAGATTTGGAAGCAGTCAAGTGTCCATCAGTATACGGGGATAAAAAATCTGTGGTACATTTACACAATGGAATACTACTCGGCCATATAAAAGGAAGGAAATCTTGCCCTTTGTGACAACATGGATGGACCTGGAGAGTATTATGCTAAGTAAAATAAGCCAGTCAGAGAAAGACAAATACCATATGATTTCACTTATATGTAGAATCTAATGAACAATATAAATGAACAAAAAAAATCCAAAACAGACTCATAGATACAGAGAACAGATTGGTGGTTGCCAAAAGGGGAGTGAGTTTGGGGGTCTGGGTGAAAAATGTGAAGGGATTAAGAAGTACAGATTGGCAATTACAAAACAGTCATGAGAATGTAAAGCACAACATAGGAAATTTAGTCAATAATATTGTAATAACTATGTGTGATGCCAGGTGGGTACCTGTAATGTTGTATGGGGCTAGTTTGGTACTGGAAATATCAGCAGGGAACATTTTGTAAAGTATGTTACTGTCTAACTACTATGCTGTACACCTGAAGCTAATACAAAATAATATTAAATGTAAGGTGTAATTGGAAAATTTTTAAAATAATTTTTTAAGAAAGTAAAAAGATAACCCACAGAATGAAATTATCTGCATATCATATATCACATCTTTATTTTTGACAAGTATACAAAGGCAACTAAATGAAGAAAGGAAAACCTTTTCAACATATGGTCCCAGAACAACTGCTATCCATATAATCAACTCAAGCTTCACAAAATATGCAAACTTTACTCAAAATGGTTCACAGATCTAAATGCAAAACCTGAAACTATTAAACTTCCAGAAGAAAATATAGGACTTTGGGTTAGTAAAAAAATAATTTTATATACAAGGGCAAAATCATGATCCATAAAAGAAGAGAAATGATAAATTGATAAGTTAGACTTCATCAAAATTAAGAACATTAGCCTTCAAAAGGCACTGTTAAGACAATGAAAAGACAAGCCACAGATTGGGAGAAATTGCTTGTACATCACATATTTGATTTAAAGAACACACAATTGTACCCAGAATTCATAAAGAACTCTGAAAAGTCAACAATAAGAAAACAACCCACTTTTTGAAAGAGCAAAAGATTTGAATAGCCAGTTTACCAAAGATATAAGGATGACAAGAACGCAGGAAGACGCTCAAAATAATTAGCCATTAGGGAAATGCAAAAATTTATAAGAAGGCTAAAATAAAATAAAATTTTAAAATGAAAAGAAGAGAAGAAAGAACTGCCGATACTGGTGCTAAAAATGAGGAGCAACGGGAATCCTCGCACCCCGCTAGGAGGAGTGGAAAATGGTGCAGCCGCTTTGGAAAGCGTTTGTGGATCTCTCATAAAGTTGCACATACGCGCGCCATATGACCGGCAACCTCACTCCTAGGGATTTGCCAAAACGAAATGAGAAGTTATGAAAAATCTGTGCAGGAATGTTTATGGGATTCGACTCATCTATAAAACAGAACCATCTAGTGATAATATACATCGGCGATTTTCAACCGCTGTGCCGCAAGGATTTTTAAAACACGCAATACCTGGCTATTTAGTGAGCGGCACTGACCTCTTTCCCTTAGATTGCCAAATAAAAAAAAAATATGATAACAGCCAACACAACAATAGCTGTCCAGTGTGAATGAATCAAAATTATACCTCTTATTTCTTTTTTGTCAGATTGGCAAAAAATATATTTTTTGGCGTGCCGCAGAATTTGAGTAGTTTATGTGCGCCCTGAGATAAAAAAGGTTGACGCTCACTGACGTAACACCGTGGACGAGACTCAGATGCACTAACTACACTGGGTGAAAGAAGCCACACTCAGAAGGCCCCATGCTGTATGGTTCCATTTACACTGCATTCTGGAAAAGGGAAAACTGTAGACTGAAAACAGATCAGTAGTTGGCAGGGAGAGAAGATAACTAAAAGGGGCAGCAAGAGGAAGTCTCTCTGGGGGATGGAACTGTTCCATGGCTTGATTGTGTGGTGGTTACACATCTTTATGCCTCTGTCAAACCCGCAGAACTGTACACTAGAAAGGGTAAATTCTACTATATGTAAATTATGTTTTAATAATTTAAAAAAACCCAACAAATAGGAATAAGATCCAGGAGGGACTAGGAGACAGAATGTGAGCAATCAGAGAAAAGTCAGCCTTTCCTCTCTCTGAGGCCAGAAAGAGGGGCCAGAGTCTATTTTGAGACATGACCCCCAAGATAATTATCAACTGGCCGCTGCAGCATCTCAGTACTAATCCTGCAGGCTTCTTCTGCTGTAATCTGACTCCTCCCGCAGCCAGAAGGCCAATGGCAACAGACAGTGGGAATCCAGGTAAAAGATGCGCTGTAGTCAAAGAGGGGTCCAAATGGCTTTGCTAAGCT